AAACTCTCCCTTGAATTCTGTGCCCTGATCCGTGAGTACCTCCCCGCAGGCTCCGAATCGACACACCACCTGGGCCTTGAATGCCGGTGCTATGTGCCTCGCGCTCTTGCTAGGGATGGCTCGCACCTCCAGCCACTTGCTCACATGCTCAATCATGAGCACTATGTACTGGTTCCCACTCCTGCTCAGCGGCAGCTCTCCCGCCAGGTCCAGGGACCACCGAAATCCCAAGCCGCAGATGGGCAGTGACTGCAGTTCTGCCTTGGCCTGCGTGAGGTTCGCCTTACTCCTCTGACAAGCCTCGCACCCTTCTACCCACTCTTTCACTTGCCTGCGCATCCCTTCCCACCACCAGCCCGTTTTCAGCAGGTGTACGGTCCTCTCATGCCCGAAATGCCCCAGCTTAGTGTGCACTTCCCTGATCACTGCTTCACGCTCCTCTGGCGCCGGCACCAGCTTCCAGCCATCCTCTGTTTTTATCTGCAGCTGCTGTTGAAACCACCTGTAGTGATGCCCTCGTGCCCTCACCCTTTCAGATACTGTCTCATCTTCCTCGGTCTCTCCCTTCACCCATCCCATCGCCTTTGCATCCTGCCAAATGTCAGCTGGCCCCTTACTCCCCTTCGCACCGTTCTGCTCCACCTCTCGCGCCAGTAGAATTAAGGTATGCGCTGGCTCCCGCTCTGTCTGTTCCGCCTCTGCCGCCTTCCGTTCCGTCTCCAGTGGTGGTGGGTTGCGGGAGAGACCGTCGACGTGCTTTAGTGTCTTTCCCGGCCTATGCCTTATCTTAAAGTCATACTCCTGTAGCTTTACTGCCCACCTTGCGTTCCTGCCTGTCAGTCCTGGTGTGGTCATCAGCCATGTGAGGGGCTGATGGTCAGTGACCAGAGTGAACTCTCTCCCTTGTAGATATACTATGAAATGCCCCACTGCCCACACCGCCGCCAGCCCCTCCCCGATGTATGAGCTGTACTGTGCCTCAGCCGGGTTGCAGCTCCTGCTGGCGTAGGCCACTACCTTCTCCACTCCCTCTACCTCCTGACACAGTATTGCCCCCATCCCCTGACTGCTCTAGTCGGTGTAGAGAACAAAGGGCTGGTCTGCTGCCGGCAGCCGCAGTACTGTCGCCGTCTTCACAGCGGTCATCAGGTCTTGCAGTGCCTCCCTCTGCTTCTCTCCCCACTCCCATGCCTTGTCTTCCCGCAGCATCCCATTCAGCACCGTTGCTCTCTTGCTGAAGTTCGGCACGAAGTGTCTGTAATAGCTGAGGAAGCCCAAGACCGCCCGCAGCCCGGACTTGTCTCTGGGTTCCCTCAGCCTGTCCAGCACCTGCACTTTCGCTTGCTGGATCCCAATCTGCCCCCCTTTGACCTCATACCCCAGGTACTGCACTGTTCGCTCCCCCCATCTGCATTTGTTGGGATGGCATGTGAGCCCTGCCCCTTCTATGGCCGCCAGTGTCTTCTCCACGTCCTCCAGGTGCTGCTGTTCGGTCAGGCTGAAGATCACTACATCATCGATGTAGCATGCCGCATGTTCTATTCCCCTCAGCACCGCATCCATGACTCTCTGGAACACTGCCGATGCGTTTCTTAGACCGAAGGGCATATACAGCCACTCGTACAACCCATCTGGTCCATGGAAGGCCGTTTTCTTTACATCCTCCTCTCTGATCTTGATTTGATTGAATCCCTGCCGCAAGTCCAGCGTCGTGAAGAACACCCCGTCGGCCAACTTGTCAAACAGTTCTTCCGCCATCGGCATGGGGTATCTATCCGACACTGTGATTTTGTTGAGATCCCTGTAATCCCCGCACATTCTCCTGCTCAGCACCTCTCCAGTCAAGTCCTTCCTGGCTGCCACCACGGTTGGGGTGGCGTATTCGGACTCTGATCTCCGAATTAGTCCGGCTTCTAGCAGCTCCTTTATCTTCTCCCTGCAGATCGCTTCATCCCCTGGTGGCATCTTCCTCCTGCGGTGGAATACCGGCTCATCACTACTCAGCTTCAGTGCCATCTCTTTGATGTTGCACTTCCCCAACTCCTGCAGGGTGAAGGCGAAGCCCCTCCGATGTTTGGCCAGCAGTGCTCGCATTGCTGTCTTCCCTTCCTCGCTCATGTTCTCACCTATCCTCCACTCTGGCTCCTCTTTCTGCAGGCAGGCCCACACCCCTTGTCTGACTGTTGCTACTGTGTTTTCTCCTTCTTTCAGTCCCCAGTGCAGTACTGTCTCTTTCCACATCCGCTGCACCAGCCATCTCATCATGTACCCATCCATAGCGTTCCCTAATGCCCGCCTTCTTTCCTTCTCACTCACTCCCGGGGCTGCTGTGGCATTCTCCTTGTACCCCATGGCCAGCTCCCTCTCCAAGGCCGTGGGTTCTTCCCACCGTCCCTTCCTATGGTCAAGTACAGGTCCTGGGCCCGGCTGTTCCCCATCCATCCGATATCCTGCTGCCCCCTCATAGGACACCAAGGTTGGTAATGCTTGCCTCTCTTGTCCCACCTGGTTGCACGGATAGTGTCTGCTGTAACTCCTCTTGTTCACTGGTGCTGGAGTTCTTCCTGGCTCCAGTATGTCGCTCACCTTCCGCCCCTCTGCCCTCTGCACCCCCTCTATCTCCCTTTGCAGATCTTCCACCGGCACCACATTCTGCCAGTACATCCTGAGCCGGTGTGCATAAGCTCCCATTCGCACCGCGTCGCTGCTCACCCCTTTGCCCACCTGCCTTGTCACTCTCTCCCTTACCAACCTTACTGGTTCCCGGACATCTCCTTCCATGTCCAAGTGTTCCAGCAGGTAGGCCAGTCTGCCCTGCCTAGCTTGCACCCACTCCATGATCCTGAACAAATCCTCCATCAGTTTGGTCCTGGGGTCTAGCTCACCCTTACCCTTTCCCGCCCATGATACTCCTTGGCATTCCCACCCTGCCACCAGCAGGTCCACGTGCCCCCAGCTGGCCACTTCAGCTTCCGTGATTGCTCTTACATCATTCACTCCTCTGCTCATCGCTGCCTTGATCACGTCTCCCCCCAGCAGCTCCGGATACTCCCTATGCAGCTCCCACGCATGGTGTTCCGCCATTTTCCTCACTTCTGCTGCCTGCTCCACGTAGTTCCACTGTTTCACCGCTATTCCATTCCGCACCACTGCTGCCAGTCCCGCCCCTATTCCTCCGAACAGTTCCACCAGTCTGATGGGTTGCTGCCAATCGGTCTGTTGGCTAGGCTCATCCATGAGGCGCATCCTAGGCTCTCTGCCCTTTCCTCTGCCCACCACTTGCTCTTGTGCCCCCTGCTTCGCTGTCACCTCCTTCTGATCCACACGGTAGGCTCTCTTTGGCTCAGTCTTCACGAACTGCACCGGCAGCTGCCCTAGCGGTTCACCCTTCCTCCACCACCTAGTTCGGAACTCCACCGTCTCTTTCCAAAAGCAGATAGTCATGCCCAGTGCAAAAATCATCTCCGTGCCCATCAGCACATCAAAGTCTTCTGATTCTGAAATCTCGCATCTGATTCTGACAGGCGTCTCATGCTTCTCCCCTTTCAGCACCGTTAGTTCTATCGGAGTCCTTGTGCAGGGCATCCATTTTGACTCTCCTCCCTCTGCTGTCATCACTAGCATCCCCTTCATCACATGTCTGTCTGGTGCCCACAGTCCCAGTTTCTCGGCCATCCCCTTCCCTAGTATAACACTCTGTGCTCCGGTGTCTATGATGGCTGCCTTTGCCTTCTCCCCTTCTACCGCCAGCGCTCCATTCTGAATCAGCAGCACCGATGTTTGACATGCCAGCCGCTCCTGCGGGTGACGTGCAGCTGTGCATCTCTCTTCCTTCTCTTCCAGCTTTTGCCCCTTTTCCCGCTCCTTCCTCACCTGTTCCCTTCGCCCATCCTTGCCTCCGCTGCGCAGCCCCATCTCTTCTCTCCCTCTCCATGCCATGTATGCATGTTGCTCCTCATGGTCTACCTCATCATCCTCCCTCACTCCCCACGCCATAAGTGCGCCCTGCTCTTCCTGTGCTACATCTTCCTCCTCCTCATCCCTGGCATACATCCCTGCCTCTGCTTCACGTTGCGGTCCCAATGCCTGCAGCTGCGCTTGCAGCCGGCTGATCTGCTTCTCCTGCTCCTCCAGCTTCTTCTTTGCTGCTCCCTCTCGCTGGTAACAGTCCTTTGCTGCATGTCCACCTCTTCCACAGATTTCACACTTCGGTGCTTCAGGGCATTCCCGTCGCCGGTGCCCTGGTTTCCCGCAACTGTCGCAGTTTTTGCAGTCCTTGCGAATGTGCCCTGGCTGTCCGCATCTGTGGCATGTCCGTGTCTCTGGCCTACTCTCTCCTCGACCCACTGCCTTGTCTTTCTCTTCAGGTATGATCGCTGCTGCCCAAGTCGGCCCTCGGCCTCGCTCCATGGTCCTGGGTCGATATGCCTCATACTTTCTCTGTGCCAGCTCCATCTTTTCTGCCAACTCGAATACCTCATCCAGCGTTGTGTCTGCCCCCATCTCATACACCTTCATGCGCAGCCCAGCTCCCATGGTGTTGTCCAGCCCGTCCAAGAACTTGCTGACCAACAGGCCCATGTCTCCACACGTCACGTCCTCTGCCAGGTTGATCAGCCGGTTGTAATAGGTGAGCAATGACTCACTCCTCCCCCTTCGGAACTCCTGAAATTCCCTTATCTTTTCTGCCGTATGCCCGGGAAACTGCCGCTGCAGCCGCCTCAGAAATGCCTCTGTAGGGTCTTCCCCGTACCTGCCCGCCCTCTCAAGTAATTCATCCATCTTCATTCTGTACAACGTCTCTGCCTCCCCCTCCAGTGTATTAGGCAGGCTTAGGAAGAAATCCACCGCATCCATGCCGCTCCGCTCACACCTATATCTCACATTTCCCACTTGCATCAAATAATTCTTCAGTGTAGGCCCCACGCGCTGGTCTCCTGAGAACCGCGCCGGCACTTCCACCCGTGTGGCCATCGCTGCACTTCCACGCCCCTCACCCCATGACTCACTTGCTCCCCTTTCCTGCCTCCCTAACCTTCCTCCTCCTCTGGCTCGCTCGATCGCCTTCCTTGCTTCTCTGGCGCGCTCCATGCTATATGCCAGACCGCTGCCTACACCTTTGCTTCTGTGCTGACCCTGCCTTGCTTCCCATCGCCTTTCCTCCTCACCCTTCCTCCCTCGCCGATCTGGTGAGTAACTTGTCCGCGTCCACTCTTCCCTTCGCCCTTGGTGCCGCCAGCACTTCTCAGGTGTCGGGGAACGGGGAGCTCTCCTTCCCTCCTGCCCATAACGTTGGTCTCGGTGACGCCACTCCTCCTCCCATCTCCCTCTCTGTCCTTGCTGTAGATCACGTTCTGGCGAGCGTTGCCCGTCTCCATGTCTCTCGTCACGCCGCGTACGCGGATCCAGCGAGCGACGCTCGCTTCCCCAGCTCATACCCCGTTCTTGGTGCCGATCTGGCGAGCTTGACTCGCCTTCCCACTTCCTCTCCTGGTACTTGCGCAGATCTGGCGAGCGTGGCCCATTTCCCCGCTTCCCGTCATGGTAGCGATACGCAGCTGGCGAGCGCGATTCGCCCCCACACCTCCCTTCGTGGCGCTGGCGCCGATCCGGCGAGCGTGACCCGCTTCCCCGCGCTCCGTGATGCTGCTGACGCGGATCCGGCGAGCGCGACTCGTCTCCCCGCCTCCCACTGCGATTCCTCCACGAATCCGGCGAGCGCGATCCGCCTCCCTGCCTCCTGCTGCGATTCTTCCACGGATCTGGCGAGCGCGATCCGTCTTCCCGTCTCCCGCTGTGATGCCTCCCTGAATCCGGCGAACGCGACCTGTCTCCCCATCTCCCATCACGATGCTGACGTGACTCAGGCGAACGCGACCTGCCTCCCCGCCTTTCGTTATGGTGCGGGCGCAGATCTGGCGCGCGCGGACCGCTTCCCCGCTCTCCGTCATTCTGCTGGCGCGGGTCTGGCGCGCGCGACGCGTGGCCGCCCTGCTCCCCGCCGTGCGCCTGCTGTCCAGAAACGGGCGCTTCCTCACGCGTGCTTCGTACGGTGCCACTTCCGGCTGTCTCCTCCGCCTCGCCTGCCTTAGCAGGGTTTGCCTCCGTTGCTTCCGCAGGCATGTCGTGCTGCTCGCTTGCGCCCTCCTCCTGGACTCCGCCGCCAACATTGGCCACGTCGTCGCGCTCGACTCCTTGCGACGAGTCCGTGCTCTCGTCCACTCCTTCTCCGTCACCATTGAGGTCTCCCTCTCGGCCCGAAAACAGTTCCTCCAAGCCTCGCCTGCGGCTCCGATCCTCGCGACGGCGGTAGCTTGCTTCCGGCGAGCGGTACGCTCCCGTCTCCTGACGATACCCACGATCGCCCCCCGCTCTGTGGCGCGGTTCCGTCCGCCACGGATCACTGTCCGCCAGGGCCGATCCCGATCCGCCCGCTCCTTCTCGTGCGGATCCGCCCGCTCGCCGCTCGTACGCGAGAGGCACCTGATCCGCGCGAAAGGCAGGCCTCCGCGGCGATCTCTCCAGCGATCGCCCACGCTCACGCGAGTGTCCGCGCCATGCGCGATCCTCCTCGCGATGACCATACGTCCTGCCATAGCGCAGCTCATACTCGTCCATCCTTGCACGCACGCACTCCTCCTTTTCTCTTGTTATGAAAGAGACAAAGCTCCCACCTCAAGGGTCCTCCCTGAGTGGTGTGTCACCTAGCCGTAGGATGAAGGTAACAACGATCCACTATATGAAAGAATAACAAGAGAAAAGCAACGAGTGAGTGTGTGTTAGTGAATTTACCTGTCCCTGGCTCGAAGCGTGCATTTCTCAATGTGCGCCTCGAGCCTGGTTTGGTTCATTCGCATTGGTTCCTTGGATTGCACCCCTCGGAGCTCTCCTACCAACTTCGCGACACTCTCCCTGGTTCCCAACTACCTACACCCCAAATGTTCATATTCGGTAATGCTACACCCCACACTACACCACAGCATCACTGGCACCTTATATGCACAACCGTGCATATTCGGTGACACCCGGGTGGTTGAATATGTGCAACACTCTATTTATTTCTCTGTCCGACAAATCAGCGTCCTTGAAGAACAGGTACAGCTCGTTCAAGGTGTTGAACAGGTCGCCAACTGTGGATACAGATCCATCGTCCGACGTCGACACGTACCCGCGCACAAAATCCGCGTGCTCGGGAAACTCTCTCAAATATCTGAACAGCGAGTCGGCGGAGTGGGGGCTGCCCGGGACTGACTCACTGTCCGAATCATGCGGGCTATTTCTCACCTCGGCCAAAGCCTCCGCCAACGCCTCCACCGCCCTACTTTCGAGCCTCTCGAGCAGCGTGTCCCTGCACATGTCATTGCGATACAGATGGATTCTCAGTAGGTTGTCTGACTCTAGCTCCTGCCCGCACGACCCGCACCTGTTCCCTGCCATGTGTCTTAATGTGCGCACACACCCAATGGCCGTTCCCTGACTTCCCCTCTAATTCCCATTAGCTAACCATTACCGTCATGCATGTTCTCCACTACACGCATGTAGGAGCTATGCTTTTTTTCGAGCCGCGCACGCCCTGCATCCTACCACCGAAACTCCGTACACCACGTCTCGCGCACCGCAGACCGTTCTATTACTCCAGTTACTACTACTGCATGTTCGGAACATGGGTCTTCCGCCTACGTCACCCCATTATCACAGCTGCTATAATGGCTTGTCAAATACATCGTGTACGCACAAAAGGGCGGAGAGTCCTGGCGGGCGGCCTTATCCGTAGCGAGAAACCCTAACCGTCTGAAATGCATGCGGTAAGACATCCCTTCGTGAAGTATGCAATTGCTTTGTTCAGGCGCGGTTGTTACACCACGACGTGGGAATATTCTCGATACAGCAAAACATAGATCATCAATGTTCGAACCCCGTTTGTCAATTCCGATGGACTATCTCCCATCCTTGCCAGACATAAACGGTGAAATTTCAGAACAATTGTTCACACCCCTAGGAAACCTATGCCATTGCCAATGCATTTTTCCACATGTGTCACACAACCACTCAATGGCATACTTAAAATCGAATACATAAGCGGGGTCAGGGCAACTAAAAGCACTACAAGTACGGATTGCTTAACATTCCTGCCATATTGGGGTAAACTTATCAGTAATAGCTGCCACGGTGGTCACGCCGACTACGACGTCGCCGCAAGAGACGATCAAGTACATCTAACAGGAGCAAACGCTCCATCAATATTGGTGGCCCTGGTACCATCTGCCATAAGGGCACAAAGACAAGTCGTGAGGCAATGTGAAGCATCGGTCACGGCAAATAACAGGACGGTCGTTACCTCTGGGGTCCTCGACGTGCGTACACCTCCGCCTCTCGCGGCGCCGCCCATACTCGTGTGTACGTTCATCCGGACATCCTATGGGACATGTGCGCAACGCATAGCAGCGCGAGGTTAATAACGTGCAACATGGCTCCCAAAAGTGGCAGCACGCAGTCAAGCAATTCATGTTGTTTGGTACTCACCTGTCTGTGACCGGACGTGCCTCGTAGGAGTAGCGGCGCTAGACACGAAAGTACCCGGGACCCTGTACGCCGAGCTAGACCTGGATGGGTTTGGAGGGTCTGACTCTCCCGTCTCTACGGGCACATTATTGGCGTCGCCCCTGTTGCCAGGGAAGAAGAAGTCGAAGAGATCATTCACGCGGGTAGAACCTTCGCGTGAATCGGACGGTGGATCTTCGCGCTCCGCACCCGCGGCTATTTCCTCAATCTGCATCCACTCCCAGCTACTAGGTACCGAGTGTGCAGCATCTATATTCCCCCCTGCTGATATCGTGGGCTGTTCGTGGTTCAAAGGTCCCGTAATTGACTGCGTAGCCCCCGCGACTCCATCCTCCGTTTCATCATCAGATGAGTCTACCACCGGCTGTCGGCCATTACCAGTGTGTGGCTCGGGTGTAACAGTCACATTGACGGTTTTATCTCGACTTATGTCGGCACCCGCGTTTATATCACCACACGCTGGCGTTTCCTGCATACGCGTTCCATCTCGATCAAAGCTACCACCCAGTAGCTTGTTTATGTGACGCGCCGCTACCTCTGTGTCGTTGCTGCTAGGGGAGGCCATAACAGGAATAATGTTAGGGTTTGAACGAATAGCCACACAGTGCTAAATGACTCCTTGTATCGCCATTGTTCGAAGCCACTTCGGAAACCATTTCCGTCAGCGATATCGCCGCCAAAATCCCGCCGTTCGACGTTGTACACCCGATTGATTTACTGTGTGTGTTACACGACATGTACAAAGAAGCTCAAAAGGTTTCATGTTTACATGATACACCAAATTTCAAACTGGCTACATCTGCAAGTATTTTAACATTTCGACTGCACAGTTCTAATCCCGTTCCGTAACAAACTATGCCCACACGCCCATAAGTCAAAAGGTCCTGTCTACCGGTTGGCGTTATACTTTACTAGGCGAACGTAGGCACAATCAATAGTCTTGGATGAGGTGCCCGTCATGGACTCTTCTTGCATGGGCTTAGTAGATACCTTGGACCACCAAGGTATCATTCCCAGAGCACGACTGAGATCCCCGATGCGCACTCCTTCGTCCATGTCCTTCATCACATTGGGCCTGTGCACCTGAAACATGCTTCATCTGGGTTTAGCGTAGGATATGCAGGCACCACAACACACACCGTCCTTTGTAAGGGCATCAACGGAACAACGTATACGTCTTACAATGGATGAGGTGCCACATCCCGTGCATATGTCTCTTGAGTGAGGTGCCGAAATCCTGGACCCATCGGACCGATGTCTCTCCTCCTGCACACCAGATAAACGTCCCCCACCTTTAATGGCCATCGGAAACACACCCAGTCGGCACGCCAACGATCCTCACCTCATATCTCATCGCCCTTGCCTCGGCCATTAGAACGACTCTGTAGTCAAATGTCGGTAACTCCAGCAGTATGACATCCTCGAGGCTTGTTGCGCTGTGATTTACGAGTCTGTAATCAGCTATTGACGTCATAAACCGGCGACCTTTGGCACGTGTAATGCTCGACTCCGACTCGTCCGGATACGTGGCGTATATGAGCCTCAGGTACATGAACGGTGTGGGTGCATCGGGTGTTATTGCAAGAGACGCACGGGCTTCTGAAATCGCGCGCGCCCTGTGCTGTCTAGGACTGCGCCTTCCACTACCCAGGAATGGGTCCAGAGACCTAAGAATCGTGGCCGCGCTAAGGGTCTGACCTCGTTGTGACATTATGGCACCTTGCACCTGCATTATGGCGTAGGCTATAGTGGGCTTAGACCGTATGAAATAACCCCGGGTGTTGCGCCGACGAGGCTCCAGCACGTCGCGCGCTTTACTACGCGTTGCGCTCATCATGCCACTACCAACTGAAATCAGTAACATTAGGCGGACGTTAGGGTTTTGTAAGTGTCCGTCCTACGGAAATCGAGGAACGGGCTGGTGGGACGATTGGAAGCGGTGTGGAATGGTTTGTGGAGTGTTGGCACGCTTTCATGGTCAACTAGGTGTACCGAGCACAAAGTGCAAAATTACTTCGCGCGTTCTTCAGTACGTGCCATATCGGGGAGGTGAACATTTTACTCGCTCTCGGATTGAGCGTGGAATGTGCTATATCCCCAACGTGAACAATCTCGTTACGTACACAATGATTGACAATGTGCGTATTATTCGACAAATACACCGGTTACTGAGATCAATAGGGCTCATCAGTTACTACATCCCATACTCAATATCCCCATGCACGCCTCCCAGGGATGCCGTTGGGGAGTTGAAGCATATCTCCTCGCTGGCCGTGGAAGACATGGACGAGGAAGGCGCGTATGAATGCCTCCTAACCTTCTTCTCTGGTGTGCGCAGCAGACGGTCAACGAGGTCCGGGTTCCCCAAGCGCTTAAGCGTGACGACGACACTCGGAGCTACTCCCGACGCGCTAGCAAGCCTTGTGTACGCATCAGATGCCATACGCATGAACCGGCGGCGAGTCCTGTCGTCCCATTTGACGCGGCCAACACAGCTTGAATCATCAATCCGACGGATGACCGGCTCTGGAAAACGTTCGGCCGTATCCTCGTCCATGGTGTCATCCCAAGTTGCGTAGTCCAATGCATCCATCACGCAGTCGGGGATGTCCAACTGGTCCAGCCTCCTCTGCAGGCCGGTGAGGCTAATGACGAGCTGCTCCACAACCTCGACATGCAGGTCGCAGTTGATCGCCTGAAGCCGAGGCAGCCACTCGTCCGGGACGCACCCAGTGCGCCAAAACGCGAGCTGAATGTGAGATGTCGCCACCCCCCACAGTGCCTGGAATGTCCACTGCAACGTGTTCGCGGCCGATGGAGAGTTGCTGGTCCACACCCAAGCTGGAGGCACGCGCCTCATGAAGCGAGTCTGGTGGTCCACCCACATTGTGCGGAATTCGGACCTGAAGAATGTGACAATGCCCTGCACGACGGGGTTCCCCACGTCTGGTACAACATCATGAAGTTGCACAATGCGAGTATGGGTTAGGTGGTGCACCATGAAGGGCCCACTCGGCTCTCGCTTGCCCTCTCCCCAAGTGAGCTTGTGCCTACGCGAGGACACAAGGACGACGATGTCACGGTCCTCTGCAAATTTCGCAGCGTTGAGGCCTAGCATGAACTGCGTGAAAAGCTGCACGTAACAACATAGAGTATCACAGAGACATATTTTTAGCACCAACGTATTGAGTCCATATATAGGAGACATTGTTGCGTGTCATCTCTAATACAATTGGCCATTACCTGGGGGGTTATGCGGCCGGACCGAGTACGGCGTATATATGCCCACTGGTCGCCGCTGACATCGTGGCCCAGCCTCAGTGGCTCCCGGTCGGCGCTCACTACAATGGGCCTGAAGCGATGCGCGCCGTCTGCGGAATAGAGAAGGCCGATAGACAGCCTCTTCATATCATTCCCATTGCGACCGACGAACGGATGCAGGTATGGCTGTAGAGCAGGTAGGAGAGAAACCTCTACAAATATGTAGACGTCGCTGGGAGGTGCGCCAAGGCGCGACAAGAGATCCTTTAGAGCGGCCGTGGAAGTAAAGTGGCGTCTGCTACAAATGGCGGCCTATGATATAACCGGTAGGATTGGCGAGTACAGCGTCCAATGTACCTGCTAATTGACAATGAGTGAGTCTAGCGTGAGAAAAACATCGGCGCAAGCTGGCCACTCCCTCTTTGCCCTGACAGGCGTGGATTGGCCACAGAAGCTACTGATTGCGCAATGACGTGGGTACACCTCATAGGCTACCACGGTTGTGCACTCTTGAAACCACATGTTTGTGCCCTGAAAGCTAATCTGTTAGTGACATTTCCGTACACTGTACAGTATATGCCCGGGTCAGTTGGGGTTCCGAGATAGTGTGCGCATTCATGCGTACGTCGGTACACTGTTACATTGCATGGTATAGTTATACTGTTTAGGAACTATCACGCCGCATCGCCCTGAACATCAATATACATCATTTAATTTGGATGCTCCACTCATCGTCGATACGTTCAGTGATCGACATGTTCAATGGTGTAATTGAAACGAAGTCGAAATAAACCCATTTGGTTGCCGCAATGTTACGTCGCTGTTGATCGCATTTGGTTATAATCATAACGGGACATATGTCGTCCCGATAATGGCTGCACAATTGAGTTTATAAAGGTTCCGCGTAGTATCGGCGGTGCATGCTGACGAGGGTACAGTAATCTCGACTCAATTGCACTGTGACAAGTGTCAAATATGGCTGGAACCCGCTGCCAATCACGAACCGCCATGGTGGTATCCACATTCTACAATCTCCTCTGTCCCTGAGTCTCCGTCGTCTGAGCAAATCAGATGTTTATCGCCGAAGATGCCTGGTGGAGTGTATAAACGCAACAATTGCACTACAGCCCGACAGTTTAGTTCTTGCCACCCTAGGGTTTCGGCCTTTCTCATGAAGTCGCCATGGTACCGCGAACCAAAGCCCAGGCCTCTAAACGAGGCCTCCATAGTCCACAAGCAATGACATCGCGTAGGCCACCGGCAGCGCCGCGGCGGGATAACACCACGATCCCGGAATCGATGAGCAACAAGCGGCTGCGCTCGCGTGAACTCAAGCAGGGGGATACGAATACCGAGGCCGCAGTGGCCGCGTCGGTTTCAGCATGGGGCTCGCGGCTGCCATGCGTCAAAGATGAGCCCGCGCCGAATGACGCGCTGACTGCTCTACTGAACGCACCATCTTCAACGACCTTTAAGACGGTGTCTCTGTATAACCACATGGGTGTGGGCTGTCAAGTGACTGCGCACGACGCATTGACGCTCGCCGACAAGGAATATCTGGGCGACGCGGTCGTCGATTTCCATAACATGTACGTTTTTGGTTGGCGATACTCCTCTAGGTTGCTTTGTCGCCACCTACGGTATGCCGACTTTAACGTTTAAAATTTTATCGTGCGTTATCCCTTCGCACCCGTGCAGCCTCCTGAACATCAGGTACCCAAGGTGTCCGAACGGGAAATCATGGGTGGTCCTTGACACCAAGGCGTATGCGTATGCCAAGCTTCACAAGAAGCCGATTGGGAGGTGCACGGGCCCGTCTGTGTTCGAGTACGATCACATTGCCGTCCCGGTATATGCCGGGTAAGTACGTCTTTTGCAAGCCGCTGTAATAAGCCCGTCTGTCGCCCCAGCCTAATAAAGGCCCCTCAATTGTGCAGGAAACACTATTCTTTGATGGTGGTAACCAACCCGAGCGGGATTGTAAGCCAGACGGCCGCACCTGTGGAGTTCATTCTGTTCGACAGTGACGGCCTCCACGCCAAGACTACTGATGCCTTTGACGGGACTAAAGCGTGAGACTCGCTATATATCACCGTGCAACCCCCTTTCAGCGGTGAAGTCCTGCGACCTCATCTGACCTGTTGGCTATATCGTCGTGCAGATTATTGCACCTCATGTGCAAACGCGATCATCCGGAGGTGGACCAGGAGGCGTCTAGGCAAGCGCTCATCAAGGCAGAAACGATAATCATGGAGGTGAGATGCTGCAAAGACAGTATGGCTCATTCTATCCCACTTGCTTTCTAATACGGGAGCGCGTTCTGATGAACGGAAACATGGTGTCTCGATGGTGCGCAGGGTCACCAGATCCCCAAACAACCTAACAGCTGGGACTGCGGAGTGTACATGTGCCAGTATCTCGAAGCACTGGTGACATCTGGGTTCATAACCGTGAGAGAGTACATATCGTTCAAGGGGGTGAGCGCTGAGAGGTACCGCCACAAGATGCGTGGGGATCTTTGTTCTCATGCCGAGGGAACGCTGATTCCCGAGCTGCAGCGCCAGGGTCTCCGCATACCTCTGCAACCTGTTCCCGTTATCGACGACAACGGATACATCTGCGTCGACCCTCCCGTGGACATCCGAAGAGAGCTGCTAGACCACAAGGAGAAGTTCGCTGTGATTGAGCACGACATACAAGTTATGACGACCAAGATCGAGTATCTGGCCATCCGCAAAGGCGTGACGTCGGACGAGCTGGACGCAGGGGCGCGCCAACACCTTGGTGCCGTGGTGGACACGCTGGTAGAGTCGGCGACTCCACGCAAGCCCGCTAAAGCAGACCCTACCGCGGACAGAAGTGGCCCAATGGAAGTCGCGCACACTCCACCGACGCGTGCACTGGCGGCAGTGCCATCAATCTCTCCCTGTCTTGCACCTCACACACCTGCCGAGAAAGATAGCCAAGTTACTGCCGGAGACGCGACACCTGCTGTGGTCAGGCAACAACAGCGCGACCATCTTGCAGTGGCTTTGCGCAGCCGCGCTAAGACTCCCGTGCCCGCAGCTCCAGGTAACCCCGGAAGGGTCGCAAGCAGCGGCCAAACGGGAGTTATGTGGAACGCAGAGAAGCAGAGGTACTACGTCCGGATCATATCTGCTCGCCGTCAGCAGGTTCGTCTGGGGTCGTACGAGGACAAGGACGAGGCGTCATACGCGTATGTTGCGGCAGCCGTTGTACTTCGCCCGAACTCACGCATCAGCTGCACGGTTGAGCTGTCCGACGGTGACAGGCAGGCTTTAGCAGGCTGCACAGAGGAGATCCTAAGGCTACTCGTGAAGTACAGGCGGTGGAACAGATGGAGGGAGTGGAGAGCCGCAATGGCTGGCGTGGACGACGCGCAGCCGGTCGATCGCCGTTCGCGGCGAAAGGGCAGAGTGTCCCGGGCCATTAGTGACGTTGAGGAGGTGGAGGCGATCACGCAGACTACAGAGGACCAGCCTATGGCAGACGAGCGAGAGGACCGAACAGAGGACTACACGGATGACGATGAGTCCGTTGACGATGATGCTGTGTATGAACCTGGAAACGATACTTTCGACGAAGATGATGGATGGGAGGATGTCAACCGTGCACAGGGTGTTGCATGAAGCACTAAACAGGGTGGCCATTGGACGAGGGGTTGTTGTAGTTGTGTGCTCATACTGATAGGACTTAGACCTGGTGGCGGGTAGCCGAATCTGGAAATGTAAGCATCGCATCTACCACAGTTTTGAACTGTCCATATCCAGGAGATGTAAATATATGACAAAGAACTCTTAAACGATGCACATGTTGAAACTGTAACAACGGTTGGGGGTAGTAGCAAATGGTGAAAAAAGTGGGTGTATAATTGGAGTAACGCATCTGACTGAAACGTGGACGAGCATCGACGATGTGACAATCCTGGCACGGCGACATGTTACATGTGGAAAGTGTGGCTGACAATTGTGTGTAATCAAACTGGCCACTCTAACCGTGACATGTGTAGAATTGTGCGCGTGGCCAAGAGCGTGAGGCAAATAGTGCGGTGACAAACTCCGTTATCGAGCATTGCGATGTACACGAGAGTGGTAAGGGGACTGATGCAAGCGAAGGTAGAACCCCGGGGTGGTTTAGAGCTACGGCATTTTGAACCCGCTGTGTATGCGGTCTGAGATGCTGTCTCCGCCAGAGGTCGATATGACTCCCACCGACGGCGGTCGTTCCAAGCGGGCGAAGACTGCGCCGTCATGGTTAGCTGAGTCATATGAATACGGGGAGCGGAAGAAGAAAGGACGACCCCTAGCGGAACCCAAGATGCGTAAAACAAGCACAGGAAAATGTGGCGCGGCGGATAAGAACGCGGGGCATGACGAAGGTAACATTTGTGACGTGACATGTACGTTGCATTTCATGTACCTGTGCTAATGCTTGTCTGTGGTGATATATGCCGTATGCGCACGCTAACTACACACCCTTCTACCTACCACGCAACTGGTCACAGAGACTCGAGAAGTGCCGCTGCAGATATGCAGCGCCAACGCTGTCGGGGCCGTCGACGCGGAGGCAGCCTGCACGCCCATTGTCGCCAACGCACCGCAAGGGGAGGAGGACACCGAGGCCGTGAAGGAACGCCTGATAGACGAGTTAATGGAAGGCGAAGATGAGGACGACGAGGATGGAAACGGTGGTGGTCAGTCGTCAAGCAACGATCCGTGTGGCGAGAACGGATCAGAGGAGGAGCAGGCCACAAAAGCGCCACACTCGAGGAAGCGGATAGACGCAGCCGATGGCCAAGTCACACGCGAGGAATTTGATGCGTTGCGTGATTCCCAGAATGATACCGCGAAGACACTGGCTCATCTTGAGTCACACGTACTGACCATCATCCGCCTTGGCGAATGGCGTAAGCGCACGCGGGCGTCCACAAGTGCCGCAGCTTCGCTCGGCCGGGAAGTTTTGAAGCGGAAACGCCAGTCAGATGATGACGAAGAATCCACGTGCGATGAGGACGATTTGCCGGCGAAAGTGGCACGGCACGCGCGTCACGACAAGTCGCCAGTGCTCCAAACCGCCCTTGACATCCTTCCAGCGGAGAAGGCTTGGAAGGTGAGGCCTCGCATAGTGTGTTCTGCTCACGTCGAGGCACAGTTGGTGGATACACTACATATGTCGTCACCGTTTCCCCCCCCCGTACAACTATTTTCAATGTCGCAGGGTGTTTGCGACATGGTTAAGGATTATCTGTTTGTAGAAGCCCCGAACGAGAAGATGGACTTCTATCCGAGTCGCGACGCCAAAAACGCGGGCCTATGCCATGTCGTGTCCACCATTTCTCCCAAAACTGCGACTCTGGCTTTAGACGCTGATAAGGCTCGAAGCAAGGATCTGACATTGTCCGAGTACAAAACAGGGTTGGCCGGACGCGCTCGCGGAGTTTTTCTTCCACGAATTGGTCTTTTCCGTGACGACGAGGACAGGGCCAGTCCTTGGGCACGTAAGACGGAGCGCACTGGGGAGCGTGCCCGAAAGAGATATTGCGTCCCCGTCCCAGACGATGGTGCGTGTTCGCTTGTCATATGGCCGGAGCGACTTTCCGCAACTCCTGTGTCGTGCCATAGTGGACCAGACATGTCTTTGAACCCTCCCCTTTTTCCGTACGCGGTATCGTTGTACCCGTTTTGCATTCCACGTGCGCAGGGGACCCGACCTTGTGCAAGTGGCACATCAGCAAAGATGGACTGCCATTTGCATCCGGAGCGTTCGCGGCATGTGCCATCGCGACTTTCGGAGGGAAGCGGAAGGACAAAGAAACAACTATAAAGCTGTACCACATGTCGTGGCTCGAGCACCTTGTACGTTTACACCGATGCGAACATATGTTGTAGCCACTTTCCTTCAACTCGCCGTTGTAAATGGGCTTCTCCTGCCTTCGCAGATCACGGACGCCATTATCAACTGGGAGAAGCGCAAGGGGAAACTGCACAACTCTCCGTACGAGAATGGCGCTTCTGTGCGCAGGATTCAGAAGCTGGCCTTCGATGCCATTGCGGATGTAGTATGCCGGAATGAAGTGCCCTACGACGAAGGGAAGAAGTCCTGGAAGTGGGGCAGGCATGGGCTCCGCCTTTCATCTTGCGGCCTGGAATGCCTCCTGGAAGATGAAGCAGCCTCCGAAGACGAAAAACATGAGTCCTCCGCGTCGGAAGCATCGGATAGTGAAACAGATGGGTGACGTCCTGATAGTGTGTTTAATCCAATTGTGTGTCGTAGACTAGTGTAGTGGTTTAGTGGGGACAGGTTGTGGTTGTTGTTGGTTCAGTGCATTTGTGCAGTAAATCGGTGACATATATGTTGGATATTGCACACCTAGCGGAGACCTCGTGCATGTTGGACACGAGAATGGTTGAAACGCAACACTCTGCATTCCGCGCAGTACGGCGACAAATGCGGCGCTAATCGCGGCGACAGATGCGGCGGGGTAAATAGGAGCCGTTAGATGTCACGCTAGTCTAGCGACGTGGATAGAGGGCAACCGTACAATCTGCCGAACCGCTCATCAATGATACGCGGTTTTTTTTTTTGCCCGACGACGGTGTCAAATGGCTATTTGCCACGTGTGTGATGGATATGGTCACTGGTGTGTTATCGTGAGATCTGCGACGATTACGTGTGAACGTGCGATTGGTATCAGTAGTCCTAGTTGGGAAACCCTATCACCGAACGGACGGCGTTTGTAGGTACAGGTGGATTCCACTACAAATCGTGGGATGACATTTGTATCGGACGGACGGTAGAGATGAGGCGTATGGGTGTGAGATATGGAGGTTGTCGGCGTATCCGGTGCGGCCATGTGCCGTGCTGCGGTTGGCATAGCGGAGTTGCCACGCGACAATCGCGTGCGTACAACTGTGGCCATCTCGACCGTACATGCGGCACGATACGATTCGTTCTGGTTTGGCATCCACCTGTCATAAAGCGTAATTACACGTGTAAATAGTATGCTGACGTGGAATAGTGACTTCATGTATGCTAATCGGCAGCTATGTGGCAACACACAGGTGTAACCGTGGAATGTCCGCATGGTGACGCAAATGTCACTGGCAGCTACATGACGTAGAAGCGACCCACATGACGCCGTGCGGGTTGCGGCCATGTTGCCGGAAACGTTGCTACAAAGCTGCGGGAAAGTTGCGGGAAAACCACTTTCCCTGTAACCCTGACCCAGAAGCCTTTGACCTAGACTTTTTTTTTGCGAAACAGAAGTTGCGGAAAAGCAACTTTGAAGCTGCAGGGAAGCAACTTTATGTGCTTGGTTTTTTCGCGATGCATGCATGTCGCATTGTACATCATCCTCTACTTGCTTGTGTTATCTCGAACAACAGTACCCCAAACGAGTTCTCCCATTCATAACAAGGTCGCACACAATGAGTACCACAACTCCTAACTACACCCGTCCTCTTCAACTCTCAATCACACACATGCAACCCCCTTACCCCACATATCCAAACTTCCAACACCGCACACATAGCCGTACAAGATTCCATCAACGCAGCTCTCCAGCTGTCCCTTCAACCGTCCACCACCCACATCCTCTATTGACGGTCTACTCAGCACCAAGTGACGCCGAAAGGTCGTCATCCCCTACGTTGCCTTCGGACTGGGCAGAGGTCGCGGGCTTCATGTGCTCCAGGCCGCACGCAGAGATGCGCAGGCCATGGCGCCCCCAAATCCACGCCTCGCGCTCCGCGTCATACTCGGGATTGCGGATACGGATCGCCCTCTCCACGGCCTCCTTGACCAGGACCTTGAGCCCATCCACAACGTGGGCGTTCCCGCCCGCCGAGTTGGAGAGCCGGCCTTTCCGCGCCTCCCAGTAGAGGACACAGTCGCAGACCTGCGCCCATCACAAAAAGTGTCAGTCCATGCATTTCCATTAGGATGCACACCATTGCACACATCGTGCGCACACACTCACCACATGCTCCAACCAGGCTAGGTGGTACACCTTAAGGGTCATCACCAGCCCTGCCTTCTTCGGCTTGAAGGCAGCCTTCGCACATGTCGCAAACGCCCGGGAGGCAAATGGCATGCCATCCCTGTCGTGGGCCCAGCTCGTCAGCACTAGAGTTTCTGCACACCACATCCAAAGCGTGGGTATCAATGTCCACAGTTCTCGCATTGGTGCATGACTAGAAATGGTCGACGACTCCAACGCGCGTCTCATGCACTCACCAGGGGGGTCAGCGCCAAGCCCAATGCGCTCGCTTATCTTCTCGATACTACGCTCCTTTTCAGGTGCCCACGGGCTGGATGCGTCCCTGTCGTCCCGGAACAGGCCAAGCTTGGGAAGTGCAATGTCTCGCACGCGAGCGGCAGCCTCTGTCTTCCACTCCGACAGCGTCTTGTTGAGATCCGCCCGTCGCGACTTGTCAGCCGCCAACGCCAAACAGGTGAAGCTGTGAGGCAGGCGGTCCAGCTCCGCACACACTCCGTGAGTCTTATCGTCACTGCTCGGGTAGAAGGTCATCGACGACGTGGGCCTGTTGAGAAACATGTGAACTCTGGCCAGCTTGCAAACCCGCTGCGCACCCATAGTATACACCATCACCAACATCAGCATTCACCGTGGACCATCAACGGGTACAGAGTGCAACCCAATCCAGACGGGAAGTTACTGAACCGAGATGGAAACATGCCCGCTCACCTTCCACGCCTTGTCTGTCGGCAGATGCACCAACGCGCGTTGCAGAATAGGAGACTTTGCAGTATGCATATGACGACCACCAGAACCATGCGTATCTTCCTCGTCGTCCTCTCCGTCATCGTCCGACCCGCCGCTCCATGTCTCGCCACGCTGATGCTTCGGGTTCATGCACCCCTGCTCCGGGTCTCTCTTCTTCCGAGCCTTACGCTTATGAGATCCACCAGAAGGCTACGCCATTGCATTCAAGAACAGCGCCTCCAACCGCGCGTTCTCCTTGGCGCTCCTGTCCTGAGCCCGGATGAGTTGCTCAAGAACCCTGCTCGAGATGCGCACGTCATCGCCGTCGGTGTCCACTGGGGTCCCGCATGCACGGTCCACATGCCCATCCACATGTCCTCGGCCCTCGCCCCGAAACACATCCGTCTCCCCCGCGCCCCGACTTTCGCGCCCGTCTGTTGTGGGTGAAGCGGTTCCCGCACACCCATCGTCGGCCGTCTTCCCTCCAGTGGTAGGTTCGCCGGATTCTTCCGGTGAGGCTGAGGCCGATGTATCTGAGTCTGCCTCGCCATCCTCTTCATTGCGCTCGGACGATGAAGCACTATCTGCACCTGTGCCGTCATCTGCGATGATACAGAGGCTCCAGACAAGTACGGTACCACATGTCAGGTATGCTTGTTGTACACGGGGGTTCATACGTATAGACAATGCGAACACTCGCATTAATACAACGAGTCACCCATCCACGCTCTTTCTGCATACCTTGCTCATGCTGTACCACCTCGTTTCCCTTCTTGGCCACGCTCAGACGCTTAGGCAGTGTCGGCCCGGGTTTCCTGTTTGACAGCCGACTGCGCGGCATTGTCAGCTGATACGACGCTCGTAGGTACGCCGGCGGGTTGGATACACGACAGACGCGCCCTCCTGTCCGAGTATCCTCTGAAGCAAGCGAAGTATCCATTGTAACAACAATAGTATCCAGCAATCCGAAACGGCTAATACATGCACACCACGTCATCCGCAGCCATGTACATATGTGCACTCATGAACCACACACCGCGCACATCCTAGCGACACAACCGTATCGTTGGAACTCGTTTGTGAGTACATCTTGTCTCACGGAAGTATTCACTGTGCACGTTGTTGATGTACATCTCACCAATTGCACGTTACACTAGCACACAATGTACCAACCAATTGAGCTACATTGTGTAAGCAAGAGCCTTCGCACCCATCAATCGCGAATACAAGCAGAAAATCTGACGCCCTGCAGATCTCTAACTACATTTCTCGCAAAACATACCGTACAATTGCATTCATGTGTATGTCTATGCATCTACATAAACTATGCAGGATGGTCTGCCAACTTCTCATGTGCAACAGAGTATTCCACACCCTCCTCAGCTTCGTTGTGCCGAGCACACCCGCCGCTGCCGTTGTGCACAGGGGCCGTTCCCCCACTCTCAGCATTGTCAGGGTCGTCTGGTTCGTTGGCCGCCTTGTTGTTGCTATCCACCACCCTCTGCCTCTTTGACGTGCGCGTGGTGACCACTCGCTTCCTCCCTCGTTTCAGCTTCCAGTTCACGCCCTCCCGCGCCTCCCTCCAGCTCCGCCACCTCCACCACCTCCGCGCTTCCACCAGGAGCTGCAGATCTTCCTTGGTGCATCCACGCAGCATCTCCTTCTCTGCGGCTAACAAACTAACCGTGTTGGGTATCTTGTCTCTTGGCCTCAGGACGAACGCACCTGCGGCGTATGCAAACGCCGCATCCTCCTCCGAGGTGTATGCACCCAGCCGCTGTTGCTTACGCTTTCCTCCTTCCTTGATCAGGATCTTCACGCCGAACTTGCCTGATGCTTTCTCCAACTTGACTCATGTGTACTTCGTTGCACACGTGTCGTCACCATCCTCTTCGTCCTCAGTGTCTGACACGAGATCCTCTTCTTCTTCTGCCTTCACCGTCTCGTAGCCGCTCGTATCTCCCCACGCATCAGCTCCAACCGGCACCGTCACCCCGAGCAGCGGTCTCCCGCGGGTGAACATCCAGTGAGGTATGGTTCCTCCCAACAGCAGCGGGCTTTGCAGCAAGCGCGCTGTCGGATCACATGCAGCGAACGAGGAGGCTAGCACAACACGGGTGGCATTGCATACGCCATCCTCCTCTAGACTACTGTCATCACGCCTCTTGCGACCGGATGGACGCTGTGGAGTGTGTGGGGCATTCTTGGTTCCACCTGCCTCTGCTTTCGCGCCGGATCTCACGGGGTTGCCTTGCATCAGTAGTTGGGTTGCAGCGGACACCACCTTGTCGCGCCTCAATCCCACAAAACTGGCTATGACGGTGAAGCTTGCGTCCAGGTACATCACATCGTTCTTCAAAGTCGCCATTTCTCTCATCATCGCCGTTACCCGTGCGTCATCCCCGGCTTGAGTGACCGGTGCTTGCCTCACATCTTCCATACCAGCATTCCTCTCCCGCACCACTGCCCCCCCCTCTGTTACCCGGCCTGTGTCCTGTGGGGGAATTTCGATCCCTAGCGCTTCCAACTGCTGAATGAGATCTCCGGTCGCGTGTGCGCACAAGTCGCGCCGCATCTCCCGCCGGCATTGGTGTGGCGTCACACCCTGAAACAAGAGCCCGCTCAATAACGTGGTGAAGTCGGACATCACCAGGGTCTTCAGGTACTGGCAAACAAAAATTCCACAGTCCTGCTTGTTCGGCTGCTGTGGCAGCTTATCCTCCTGCACTTCGACAAACGCACACTACAGCTAGCAATCCGTCTACCCTCGTAAACATTGTGCACACAGGTATGCGCATTCACTGGTACCCTCACCCGTAATATTATGCACTCCGCCTCCAAAAGTTGCTTGTCCACAAACTCCATGTTCGCGTCAGGGTTACTCGCCTTGGCGAGTTCGGACAGCATACTGCACGTTACAGGCCGAAATCGTTAAAACAAGTTTTGGGTTGCTGCCAGCGACATGCAACGTCGACAGTGAACCCCGTACTCACAGCTTGGTGCCTGCAAAAATCATGCGGGTGTTCCTTGTCTTTATGCTACTGTCCAGCAAGACCAACTTCATTCGCTCTTTGCCTTCGGATTTCGCGGACTTGGTAAGCACCGATGGAGATATAGCGATGACGAGCGAGTAGTGCTCCCTACGCTCAACAAACGGGATATATGTGATACGTACCCCTCTAGCACAGGGATCGCGAGATAGTCGTGCTGTAGTAGCGGAAGCCCATTCCCGTCAAAGGCGCACCACACGAGTTCGTCTGGAAGTACGCCTTGCAGTCCAAGGCAGCCCATGTTTTCCCGTCACGGAGAGTCGGCTTCCGGATGCTAAGCAGCCTGCACAGTTAATGAACAAGAAATAACAAAGCGTATAAGATGTTGCCCATACATCAGATACTACGCAACAAAGTGTCAACCAGGTGACCGCCGTGACGATACTTACATGTTGTGAAAGTCTAGCACGCCATCAGTAATCCACTGATCATCCTCGATCGACATGAGGTCGTCCTTATCCACCTCACACCCGACGCCGCGATGATTTATAAGCGTCATGTTTCTGTACGAAGGCTTCATGTAATTCCGTGCGACGAGGGCCACCAAATCTTCCGGCACCTGCTCCCGGGCCGTATCCTCCTTATGAGTAGCAAACTTCTTGGCCCTTCCGGAGTCCTTAGTCGGCGGGATCGGCCCTGGATTTTTCATGTTAGACTCGGCCTTTTTCGACGACCTGGTTCTGCACGTCGGCGGGGCAAGATCTTGGTCGTCGGAGCTGCTGCTAGTTTCGGGTTGATAGTGTCAGATTTGTATGACATAGCTGTTGTAGGCTATAGTGGGGTAGCACATATGGGGTACAGCTTTCTAGGGTTGTATTTGTACCCAACTTTCACTTAGTCATTTCATTCTCGTTCCAACTTTCTCATGGTATCAGAGCAGGTTCCCTAGTGGGAACTGTGCCTAGGGCCCACCACATCGAAAGTTTTTTTCCTGCCCGGAGCGCGCTCCCCGAGTCGCGCTCCCCTCTCTGCCTTCGTCGAGCCGCCCTAGCGGCCACGTCACGCCACCCTACTTGGCCCGTCGCCGCCCTCCTACGGCCCGTCGCGGCCCTTACTCGGCCCGTCGCCGCCCTTCACGGCCTGTCGCCACCCTAAGCGGCCCATCGCCGCCCTCACTTGCGGCCCCGCCGCCCTCACTTGCGGCCCCGCCGCCCTCAGTTGCGGCCCCGTCGCCGCCCTCGGTTACGGCCCCGTCGCCGCCCTCAGTTGCGGCCCGTCGCCGCCCTCACCTGCGGCCCCGCCGCCCTCACTTGCGGCCCCGCCGCCCTCACTTGCGGCCCCGTCGCCCTCACCTGCGGCCCCGCCGCCCTCAGTTGCGGCCCCGCCGCCCTCAGTTGCGGCCCCGTCGCCGCTCTCAGTTGCGGCCTGTCGCCGCCCTCACCTGCGGCCCCCCCGCCCTCACCTGCGGCCCCGCCGCTCTCACCTGCGGCCCCCCCCCGCCCTCACTTGCGGCCCTGTCGCCCTCACCTGCGGCCCCGCTGCCCTCACCTGCGGCCCCGCCGCCGTCACTTGCGGCCCCGTCGCCCTCACCTGCGGCCCCGCCGCCCTCACCTGCGGCCCCGCCACCCTCCACTGAGGCCCCGTCGCCCTCACCTGCGGCTCCGCCGCCTTTACTTGCGGCCCCGTCAACTACTGCAGCGCCGCCCGCCATCCGAACCGCCCGAGCCGCCGACCGCCGCGCCGCCCTGCAGCAGCACAACCGAGCCACCCAGCAGCAGAGCAGCCGAGCCGCCGAGCCGCCGAGCCGCCCTGCAGCCGAGCCGCACTGCAGCCGAGCCGCCCAGCCGCCCAATAGCCGAGCCACCGTGCAGCCGAGCCGCCGGGCCGCCGAGCCGCCACGCCGCCCAGCAGCCGAGCCGCCGAGTCGCCCAGCAGCCGAGCCGCCGAGCCGCCCAGCAGCCGAGCCGCCGAGCCGCAGAGCCGCCCTACCGCCGAGCCGCACGACCAGCCCTGTCCGGTGAGCACAGCGCCTCTGTCACTGCACTGCCCTTTCCCTACTGCTTGCACTGCTAGTCTACTGTTGTCATGGCTACCCCTAGTGTCCTCGCTTTTGACGCTGAGGGTCGAGCCATTGACTTTGACGTCTGGGTTGACGACCTGCAGCTGTTCTTACAGTGCGATAGGGCAGATGGTCTCTCTCTCTTTGACCTCACCTCTGGCGCCTCTCCTGCCCCTGCTGCTAATGCTGACGCCACTGTTTGCTCCCAGTGGGCCACGCGCGACGCTGCTGTGCGTCGCCACCTGCCTACCACTGAGTGTGCGCACTTTAGTCAGTACAAGAGTGCTCAGACCTTGTACGACGCTGTAGTTGCGCGCAACTCTTCCCCTGCCACTGCTGCACTGAGCCGCCTCATGCTACCGTACCTCTTCCCTGACCTTGCTGCCTTTCCCACAGTAGCTGACCTCATTACGCACCTCCGCACTAGTGACACTCGCTACCGCGCCGCGCTTCCTGCTGAGTTCTGCGCCAAGAACCCCCCCCCCCATGTATATCACTCTCTATTATATAGTCACCCGCCTCCCTGACTCCCTTCGTGTAGTCAGGGACCACTTCCTCTCAGTCTGTCCCACCACTCTCACTGTTTACCTCCTAGAGAAGGCCCTCCTAGCAGCGGAGAAGAGCATAGTCGCTATAGGAGCCTCTCGTGGTGACCCTCGCACCCCCATCTTTGAGGGGTGTTCCCCTTCCCCCCTTTTGCCCTCTGTCGCCTCTGCTGCTGCGGCCGACCTCGTTGGTCTTGAGTCGGTCGGTGCGGCGTCTGCCCCTAGTGGGAAACGCCGCTCTGGCAAGGGCAAGGGGGGCAAGGGCGCGGGTGGAGCTAGCGGGGGTGGTGGAGGTGGCAGTGGAGGCGGCGGAGGGAGTGGGGGTGGCGGTGGGAGTGGTGGCGGGGGTGGAGGTGTCGGTGGCAGCAGTGGAGGCGGAGGCGGCGGAGGCGGTAGCGGTGGGAGCGGAGGCGGCGGTGGTGGCGGCGGTGGAGGAGGCGGTGGTAGCGGAGGTGGAGCTGGTTGGGGTGGCGCTACGCAGCGGAGCGCCTTCGGTGGTGGTCAGCGCCAGCAGCAGCAGCAGCAGCAACGTTCTCGGGACATCCCTCCCCCTCAGCAGCTCCGTAAGTGGTACGCTGCACGTCAGCGGGGTGGGGGTTTTGGTCCCTGCACCTACGTCCTTCGCACCGGCGACCGCGCGGGTGAGCAGTGTGGGGGTGCCCACCCCACCTAGCGCTGCTTTGGCCGCCTGACGGACGCTTGGCGTCACCAGTTCCCGGAGGCCACTGAGATCCCCCGCTGGGGAGAGCTGTCTAGGGCAGGTGTAGCTATCTATGATCTTGACTTTGATGCTATTCTTGCTGCCATGTATGCTGTGACTATTAGTGATGAGGGTGACTGTTACCGGTGTTTCCCGCCCAACCCGGGCATTGAGACTGCTGCTCTAGGTACTGGTGAGGCTGCTGCTCTAGGTGCCAGTGCGGCGGCTGCTCTAGGTGCCAGTGCGTCTGCGTCTTCAGGTGCTGGTGAGTCTGCGCTCTCAGGTACCGCGTCGGCTTCGGCCTCCCTCACCTTCACACTTGACTCAGGGGCTTCTCGCTCCTTCTTTCGAGACCGCACCACACTCACGCCGCTTGGTCGGCCGGTTGCAGTCTCCCTGGCAGACCCCTTTGGGGGTCCTGTCCTCTCTCACTTCTCTACTGTTCTCTTGTGTCCGGCTGCCCCCTCTAGCACCTTGTCTGGTCTTTACCTCCCCTCGTTCTCTACGAACTTGGTGAGTGGTGCTGACCTACAGGATGCGGGGGTTCACCAGTTTACTCCTGCGAGTCAGCGGGTGACCCACTGCTCGGACGCTCGCACAGGCAGGCACCTGTCCACGTTTACGCGTCCGCCGGGGTCGAGCCTCTACACCCTGACCACTGAGTCTCCTCCTGACCCTGCGTCTGGTCAGGTAGCTGCGTCGGGTCAGGTGTTTGCTGCAGCGTCCAGGTCTGGTCCTGAGTCTGCCCCCTGCTCGTGTCGCCTCCTGTCTCACGAGACTCTCCTGTGGCACCACTGCCTTGGTCACCCCTCCCTGCCTCGTCTCCGAGGCATGGCTTCCCGTGTCCTTGTCTCTGGTCTTCCCCGGTCCCTCCCTCCACTTCCTCCGGGGCCTGGTCCTTCTTGCGTCCCTTGTGTCGAGGGGCGGCTACGGGCTGCCCCTCACTCCTCTCAGTTTCCCCCGAAAGAGGCCCCGCTACAGACACTTCACATGGACGTGTGGGGCCCGGCCCGCGTCCGTGGACAGGGTCACGAGCGCTACTTTCTGCTGGTGGTTGACGACTACTCGCGTTACACCACAGTCTTCCCCTTGCGCAGCAAGGGTGATGTCACTGAGGTGTTGATCGACTGGATCCGCGCAGCTCGTCTCCAGCTCAGGAGGAGCTTCGGCTCGGACTTTCCTGTTCTGCGTCTGCACTCTGATCGAGGCGGAGAGTTCTCCTCTGGCCTTCTGCGAGCCTACTGCCCTGCGCGAGGCATCCGCCAGACCGCTACGCTTTCG